ACCCCGCGGGAGCTGCACACTGGAGAGCCCCTCCAGCACGGAGCTCTTCCTCAAGCCACGACCGGTAGGTAACCTTACTTCCTGCTCCACCTCAAAGTCATCGCAGCACGTCGATCAGGTATTAATACAACTTGCCGTCGAAGCAGTTAACCAGGGACCTACCCTGGGGGCACGTGACCGACCTTTCTGCGAGTGACCCCAATGAAACGAGAATGAAGTGAGCGTGTAAATTCGTATTTGCATTATCAAACACCGAAAAGGAAAATAATGTTAATTGGGGTCGACTAAGTCCTTCATCCCTCCATCACAATGTAATAACTACCACTTTATGTACACAATACTGAGCAATAGTGTGCATGCCTTACCCTTTGTGTGAATAACAGTAGCTGGTTTTCCTGTGATCAGTATCTGACAAAGAAATGCGACATTTCTGCCATCGGCTCCAGGCTACCAAAAAAATGAGCACAATACAATAGTATTGGTTCTTTCGGTAAAGTCAAGTAGAAGGGAAATAATAAAATAAAATAAATATACAACAATAAAAGTATCACGACGTTTCGACTGCAACACAAGCAATCATCATTTTTTTCTTAACGTCAGCACCACGGACAGCGATTTGGCAGTTGGTCAGATGGACGAGTCCATCTATGTTCGGAAAAGAGGAGGGGGGAGAAGAAAAGAATGGTATTCGGTCTGAAAGTCACCGTAAGCGTGAACACAATCAATTAAAACCCGACATGGTTTATCAAATCCTTCCAATGATTGCTAAGCCGGAATCCATCTTCTCGGTGGAAATTGTCTCTGTGTTTGTATATGTGGATAGCCTCATGAACGAATCTCTCATGGGAGCCAGATGGCTTGCAGAGAACATCTGTCTTGGAGAAATCAACGTCATGTGAGCCCACTGAATTATAACAGTGATCTTCCACGGCCTAGGTGTTGGTCCTACCGTGTTTTAGGTCTGCTTTATGTTCACGAATGCAGTCCGAGACATGTCGTTTGATTTCTCCAATGTAACTACTACCACAGAGGCAACTCAGTTTGTAGACGCCAGGGTACTGTATGTCCGGAATCACATCTTTTACAGACGGAACCAGATCACGGATTTTATGTAATGTGTTGAATCGGACCTGGATCTTGTGTTTATTCAAGATTTTGTTAATCTTTTTTGTGATCCCCGCAATGTAGGGTAAGGTGATGGTTTTGAATGGCTCCTCAAGAGGGTCCTTCTTCATGGTTGGAGTCATGGCTTTGCGCATTGTGTAGTCGGAGTAACCATTAGCCTTAAGAGCTTGGTGTACGTGCTTGAGTTCACTGGCAATGTGTTCCTGGTCAGAGATGCATTGGGCTCTATGGTGCAGAATCTTGATGAGGGAATTCTTCTGGGATGGATGGTGGTGGGAATCCGTTTTCAGGTAAGCATCCGTATGGGTAGCTTTCCTGTAGACAGAGTGGCTCATTGAACCATCAGGTCTCTCTTTTATTAGGACATCTTAAAAAGGTAGCTTGCCATCTTTTTCAACTTCCATGGTAAATCTGATGGCTGGGTGTATGGAATTGATGTCATCTGGCCACATGGCCGGCCTGCTCTAGACCAATTCCTCGACCACATCAATTCCATACACCCAGCCATCAGATTTACCATGGAAGTCGAAAAAGATGGCAAGCTACCTTTTTTAGATGTCCGAATAAAAAAGAGACCTGATGGTTCAATGAGCCTCTCTGTCTACAATTTGGAGATGTATTGAGACACCTGGGGTGTCTGATTGGTCAGCTCAGAACTGCGAGTCTTTCTTGTACTAGGATGTCAGAAGATTAATTACAGCAAAAAGTTTACTTTGGCAGCTAATGGTATTCAAATAGTTATATTCTGTTTAGAACTTATTTTATTAATTAAAACAAGTTAGTGGAAGGATAAAAACAAACTGCAAGCTGACTTATATTTTGATTTACCCAGATGCGACCAGAATCGGCACTGTGTTGAAATAAGCGCTTCTCTGCCCACTTGAGGCTGTTTTACGCTCTCAGAAAACCAGACCCCACACCACGAAATTCGATTATCACGTTTCGAGGTCATGATTACATTTTTTTTATCGATTTGTTTAGCCAGGTGAGAACTCACGAGACCAGGATGGAATCGCTGGCTCCACATAAAATAAACCTCACCACGTAAATTTAGACAGATACCATCACTAAGATCACATTTCCTTGAGCTCTTCTCTCCACCTCAAAGTCAGCGCAGCACGTCGATCAGGTATTAATGCACCTTGCCGTCGAAGCAGTTAACCAGGGACCTGCCCCAGGGGCACGCGACCGACTTTTCTGAGAGTGACCCCAATGGAACAAGAATGAAGTGAGCGTATAAATTCATATTTGCATCATTAAACACCGACAAGGAAAAATAATGTTAACTGGGGTCGACTAAGTCCACTTTATGTACACAATACGTGTGCATGCCTTACCGTTTCTGTGAATAACAGTAGTTATCCTTTGATGAGCATCTTCCAAAAAATGAGACATTTCTGTCATCGGCTCCAGCCTACCAAGAAATATGAGCACAATACAAGACTTGTTTTGATAAGATTGTTTGTCAAGCAGAGACTTCTCAGAGCGCTTTACACGCGTGATAACACGTAATTGTTATGACAAATTTACATTCAAGAATGGAATACAAGAGCTAAAAAAAACTTGAGGTAAAAAACTGATAGCGATGTACGCGGGTGTATTACAAAACCGCTTAGTACCAACCTGTTGCAGTATTTAGTGCATTTCTACTTGTCTCTCAGGGGGGACGTACGTGTATACTAGGCCAGACCTGGTTCCAGCTCCTCTCGGATTTGGAGGCAGTATAGCTGTGTGGGCAGCCACCATTACAGGTGTAGTGTAATAGCGCCGGTTGGTGGACAGCAGCGGCAACAGTGGTGGACGGATAGTACACACGCCGGTGAGGATGTGCACGGAGTGTGGGCAGAGGGGAGGAACTCGGGTAAGTGTCACAGAGGACCCCATCTGGAGGCCACTGGAACCTGCTAGCGGGTTCGAGAAGGGAGGCGCGGTCAGGGCGGAGCCAGGCCGCACTGGGAGCATTAAAGGAGCCAAGAGTGGGGGCTCGAGGCTGCCGGTTCTGGGAATGGACTCGTCTTGTTGTTGCTTTCGTCTCATCGCCATCGTCACTTAACGTTTCCTCTAGATATTGCCCTACAAAGGATAGTGGTTGGCTAGCTCAGTCAGCGCCGTCAGTGTTAGACGGCTAGTGATATGTACAGGCTAGGCTAAGCTACTGTGAAGAGTGTGCAGATAAGACCGTGAAAGTTGTTCATGAAGAAAGTGCCTCCTAAAAACTCTGTCTCTGCATCATTGACACTACACAGGGATAGACACCGCGAGGGAGAATGGACTCGGGTGAACTCGGGTGGCCCAAAGGGACACTTGGCAGAGCAGGCCCAACAAAGCGGACCTCTAGCCGCACCCAGCCCTGTGTCACAGGCTGACCTTCCCTCTTTATTACACTGGTAACCTGGCAAAATTGGCCCCAACTGTCCCCACCATCATCCATCACTGAGACTAGAAATTACTTTGCAATACACCATAATCTTTCACAAGTCTGGATGAATTCTGCAGCCATTAACTTTTTTAATTCACCGATTACTATAATTTCTTCATTTTACTATAATTTCTTGATACGGGTATATATTTGTATTTATTTATACAGGCTCACGTGACCATCGAGCTAATAGTGGCAGCTACATGGACCAAATTGTGTCAAAAAGAAAAAAATAGTTGAATTTAATCCCAATTTTGAAATCGCAAGAGGCTGCTCGTGACACCTTTCACTTCGGCGCTTCTCTCATGACCTCTGCCAGCCGCTTCTGACCTCTACTGACATCAGTGCTCCCAGCCAGGCTGCAGTCGCCAATCAAACGCCTGTTGCACTAAAAAAATAGTACGCAATTTAGAGATGTATCGAGACACCTGGGGTGTCCGGGCACGGTGCCATCCTGGTATGCTGGCAAATTAGACTGTCCTGATCTCCTGAGCTCTCACCTCCGTTTAACAAAATCAAATTTTACTTTTTTCATGGACTCCTCTAGTTCTCAGCAATAATCACAATATACCACTGATAAAACACACAAAGCTTAGCACTAAAACTGTTACACCATATGTAATTTGTATATCCAGCACTGTATACTCATTTTCCCACTGGTAAAGCGATGAAGGTTTGCCGTTCTCTTCGCATTACCTGAACTCTTTGTCTCCACGTCAGCATGTTACGTCACACAGCACGAAGCAATATGGGCATGGTGTCCCTGGGGAGTGAGTATTGCTTTTGGTTAGTCGCCTGTGTCCCATGATCTTGACGATCCGTTGGAGTAGAGATTAGTTTACAGGTGGATTGATCACAATTTTTTTTACAAAGGGTTCCTCATTGTATTGGTTCATCTCAACTCTCCGATTGAGAGGCGAGATCTCCACTTACCTCCTTTCCCGGTTGGATTTTATCACCTTCAATTAATCAGGAAAGGGTATTCCAGACTAAATATTACTGTCTGCCGGAAGCACTGGCTCTCTTGTCATTACTTTAACGCGAATTCTAGGCATCACGTGATGTCACACGACTTATTATTATTATGATTGTTCATATTACTATTGGTATTCTCCATTGGTTGTCACAGTTAATATATCGACAATAAATTTGAAATGGTTAAAACTTTAGTTATTTATCATTGTGCCTTTATTTCTCCAATCCATTTTTGAAAACATCTTCTAGCCTTGCTGTGCGTTACCGAAATCCTATTTTAATTTCAATCTGTGCTAATTTATTCATGTATTTGCCGTGCAGTTCCTGTCGTTATAAATGGCAATGATAAAACAAAGATATATTTTATTAAAGGTTCTTCACCTTTTTCAGTCACAACGGACTTCTAGAATAAAACATGTTTTAATTGTAAAATGTATTGCCTGTTAATATATTACACTTTAAATAAACAAGACGGACACACACAACATGTATTTTTTTCATTGCTTTTATATTGTTCAGCTTTTATTTGTGTCAACTACTTCCACAAATATCTTGCATTGAAGCATATCAATACATTTTCATTTCTATAATTTCCTCTACACCATTTAGATAAAATAGCATTGTTAATCTTTAGCTCACTACATGGACTGCAAGTACATATGGTATTGTTGCTATATCAAATCAACTTGCACAGTAACAGTCTAAGCAAAAATAACAAACGGGAATTTTTTTTATTTCCGAAATCTAAAATTAGATCATTATTTGGGTCATATTCTTTCTAGAAAATTACAGTAAACTTTCCCCTTGTTTCTACTTGTTTCTTACTCTATTATTTATACTCAGAGTATCTGTGTGGTTGTTGTTGCTGGTGTATGGTATCCGGGTTGGTTTGAGGCTATATGACTTGTTTCGGGCAAAAACACTGTGCAGGACACATTAGTTTTATCGTCTTTCCAGCGGCATCATTCCCACATCCATAACGGTCGGCCATTACTTCACAATTGCTGTATTTGTCTTTGTAGAGGCATGGATTTGCTGTGAATGAAAAAGAAAGTAAAAATGGCAGACGTTTTTACTTTACCACTGCATCTTGTACGTGTCCAAACGAAATACAGCATGCATGTAATCACTGTAATTGTACGTTTTAAAAGCATAGCAAAAGCTGTCACTACCCCTTCAATCAGTGCAAGGGAAGACGCAATAAAGTTTAATTGCTCACCTGTTCTCTTTTGCTCATTCTCCCCTCGCCCCTCCACTCGTTCCCGTCCCTCCCCTACCCTGTCGTATCCCCTAAGTTCCCCCTATCGTGGTCACTCATTCCTCAATCCTTGCACGCCCCTGCCATCTAAATCATTATATTCTGTCTGCGTTTATTAAACTATGTCAAGCACATTGACTGAGGCGCTCTATAAGTATAACATTATATGAGTAGATATCAACTAAACGCAGCTAATACTTGATGAATTCATGGTCCACGTTTCTGTCGACCATTGCTGAGCACAGCAGGAACACAACTTTCTAGATAGCCTCGCAAAACCCCAGTGTCACTCTGGGCTCATAAGGCAAACAATTATGCCTTAAGGTATGCTTTACAAAAAAAAACTTACTGGCAGCATGTAAAAATGAGGCTCATACAGCTTTATAACAGATGTCAGTAGGTAGTGAAGGTAGTAAATTACTTTCTTATATAGATAATGTGAATAATACGTGGAAGCATGGGATGGAGGTCGATAGCAGCAGAGGTCTTGATGGACTATATTAAATAGTTCTGAGAATAGAGGTCAATGTTTATGAAAAATTTATAGATTCTAACACGTAAGATATTAAATAAAATTAGTTTTTATATATGGAGGATGCAGGTAGTTTATAGCAAGACAGTGCTACCATATTTGATAGAACATAAGAAGAAAACATTGTGGATTTAATCAGGAAGATGAACTTGTGATTGGTGGAACACGTGTAGAATGAACAGTGGCTATTTCCTGAGATGAGCACTGGAGTGAAAACTTGGAGGATGTTACACCAGGGTGTCAACTTTTATATAATTTTGCAATACAGCTGAAAGAATGGTTACATGTGGTGTTATCTACAGGATTGGTTTTTGACCTTGATTTATCATGATGCATGAAAAGGTGTCTGGGTAACTTACTGCACAAGTTGTTTACACAACTATCAGGACAAGCTTCACATGGCTTCCCTAAGTCATATGGATAGTTCAACCTGGCGTTGTCGTTTCCACTGTAGAAAAGAACAGAAATATGCAAGGGCTTGTTAATGAAACAATACGTATTTTGTAGGCAAGGCATTGCATGAACTGGCTGGAGTGCTATCCACGCCTGTATAAGGGGGGAAACACAGTATTTGTTCCATACATGCGAACCATAATTGGGACCTGGGCGAGGGGATTATCACATCGTGGACACGGCTGGAATCGGCCAATGAAGCTCTGATTCAACTTACAGAAGCATGGACACGCGTTTTAACAATTTTTTATTTTTCCAGGTAAGACCCACTTGAGCTATATAGCTGTTTTTCAGAAGAGACCTAGCCACACATGATAGCTCAACGAAGTGGCTTATCACATGGATATGTATATTCTTGGTTCTTTCGGTAAAGTTACGTATAAGGGTAATAATAAAATAATAAAAAAATTCAACATTACAATTATCACGACGTTTCGATTGCAACACAAGCAATCATAATCAGGTGTGAAAACCACAACAAGAAAATTTGAAAAAAGTGGCGTTTAAAAAAAAATCTCTTGCTGTGGTTTTCACACCTGATGATGATTGCTTGTGTTGCAATCGAAACGTCGTAATAATTGTATTGTTGAATTTTTTATTATTTTATTATTTCCCTTCTACGTGACTTACCGAAAGAACCAAGAATATGAATCCCTGCAGTCACGAAAGCTTTAAATCGAAATGAAATGTATTGCAGCTAAATACTCTAAACGCGTGTTTCTAAATGTGGAGAGAAAAAAACGGAGGACCCGGAAAAAATCCACGCAACCACGGGAAGAATATGCACACTCCAAATATACGGGCGTCAGGGTCGAGATCGAACCCACGACTTCCTTTATACCAGACGAGGCAGTTAACATCTCGCCGTCGTGGCGCCCCACCTTGTGTGTGTGTGTACCGCAAAACAGTCCAGTGTGCCCCCTGGTTATCATTTACGTAGTGCAAGGTTCTATGGCAGGAGTCAGTCTAACCATTAAAAAGTACTCATTTATATGAAGTCAACCTCTCATGACTTCATATAAACTAGTATTTTTTAATTACATTGATAAACAAATAGCCCCAATCGCACGTTTTCTCATTGAAAATAGGTAAATTTCTAAATATCACTGTCCTGGTCACAAAAGCTAAGTTTGTGGGGAATAATAGCCATTTTCTATACTTTTTAGGCATAAGCAATTACGAAATAACACTTACTACCCATGAACAAAAATTGTGTTACATAGTGTAATCAATCAACCTGACTGCTTTATGTTGAATTATGTCAAGTGGAGCGAAGTAGGAACAGGGTACTCCACCCCAGATATGATAACAGTATTTATAACTACAAAGAAAGAAAAAACATATGTAAAGCATGAGGAGGTGCATGCTCAACAGTGACACAATAAGGACACATGCTAGTGCTCACGTAATGCACTGCAATTCAGATAACCATCTGAAGAACACCACCTACTTTTGCCCACCATTAGCTTTCTCTCCTAGAGATAAAATTATCTGGAAACTGTTGTTGTACATTACCAGCATTATTCTTTAACATTTGACATTCTAACAAAACATAATCCACGTATTGAGCATACTTACGCTGGGCAATATTGGCAGACATAGAGGTACTTGAGATCCCCAGGGATATTTGGGCAGTAGTTGATCGCACACCCAACCTGATGAGACTTATACCACACCAGCTGCAGGAGACAGTGAACACAGTGGATAGATATAAAAATAGGTGTTACCTTTTCTGGCAATAGAACGGGTGTCCGCATTAACCACATATACTTGTGGTGAACATGCAAAAAATGCTCTGATAGTACAGGCATTGTCTTTTAAACTGATTGGTCCACATCAGAGACGGCGAGATCATGAAGGTCCCATGATGTCGCTGCTCACCCCGAAGCTCTCAATGTCCTGATAGTGCAATTGTCTTTGTGCTGTTCACCTTTTGACGTCCTCTGGTCTAACAATGTTTGAGACTACGCTCTAAAGAAAACTGTCTCTGGTGTGTACCAATCGGTTTCAAAGACAATGTATATACTATTAGAGCATGTTTTTTTTTGCATGTTCACCACAGGCATATTTGGTTAATGCAGACATGAGTCCTTGCAAAAAGTTTCAATTTGGTGTTTAAACACCTGTTTTATTGCCAGAAAGGGCAAAACCTATTCTTATATCTTGTTACTCGCGAGGGAGGTCCCATGATACAGTGGATAGACATTGTACTTTTGCATACGAATGTATCTTAAACACATCTACAAGAGTTCATGCAGGTTGCATATCACTTCAATAAGTGAAACTTGAAATACTATTTTAGACATTGTATTGGCAGTCGTGTTAAAGCACATTCTAAAAATGTCTTACTTCCACTACCGTTTAAAAACACTGACAAATACGGTAAGTTCCTGAAAGAAGAGCAACTGTAGGAAATTATAGGTAAATGTTAGGTTATTACCTATGCTACGTAGCTGCACATAACTCAGCACCTGGCCTGAAAACCGATATTAGTCAGTCAGTAGGCGGTGATCTCAAATTAGTAATTTGCGGGTAACTTTTTAAGTTGAAAAATTGTCACCATTATGCCACACAATGGCCTACTCATGCCCAATGACGTCACGGGATCTTTAATGTCCGCCGTGGAGCGGACGGGACGTATTTTGCAGTGAATGCACCCATAATATTAACCAGGGCAGCCACCGGGGGTTCAACCGTGAAGCTGTGCAACAAGCGGCCAACGCACTGGGTCATGTCACCCGCCCAGAGTGTGCTCTTTACAAACCTGAGTGAAGTGTCCTACGGCCCCTGGGTGCTTGGCACCTTTCCCGTACTCAAACCCTGGAGAAATGACTTCGCTGTACCAGCTAAACACCACAGAGTCCCATGGGCGAGGATTCCCCGACAGGAAAATGTTCTCACCGCAGTTCCACTCTGCAGAGTAAATTGAACTTAAAATCAGTACACAGATCATGTCTCTCACCAAGCACGTGTTGATATGAATGTGTTACCAACGTAATGTAAGTATACCATAACGAGGTGTCTTATTTGTCTTTAGTGATGTAAAATAATTTTATTTTTGCACGCACATCCCTGAAGGATTGATGAAAATTATAATATTTTTTGTGATCGCACGCCATTACAAGGACGATGAAGAGACTGGCTCCCACCATAGTGATGTTGGATTTTCCACACCTATCTCAGAGCTAACAAAAAACATTTACGACAGTGGTTCACTTCGCCCTTTCCAGAACACACTTTCACGTGCACACACAAGCACAGGTGTGTGTTGTGTCATAAGAGTCTGATTGGTCAGCTCGGACCTGTGAGTCGTTCTTGTACCAGGATGTCAGAACATTAATTTCAGCTAAAAATACACTTGGATAACTAATGGTATGCATTAGTTATTATTTAACGGCAAGTTTGTAGAATAATAAAACTGCAAGCTTACTAATATTATCATTCACCCAGATGCGGTCAGCATCTGTACTGTGTTGAAATAAGCACTTCTCTGCCCACTTGATGCTGTTTTTGGCCACGTCTGTATTGTATTCCTGCGAAGAGAGCACCGTCACATCCATTAGGACTCCATTGGAGGTATAATCAGTAGTATTAGTTTGTAAAGAAAACTGCGACTTACGTCTTATTAATGACCACATCACGCATCAGTATATTGAGAATTAAGATAGCTATCAGGAGATAGCACACCAAATGGGTCTTGAATCCATCTGTGTTGGCATTTGTATGCTATCTGGGCTCTTTTTACATTCCTCATATGTTCGCAACATGCCATGTTACAGTGTAAAGGTAGCTGCGTCAGTTTTGAAAGGACGCTGAGCATTTCGCGAAGGATCTTTTCATAAGGTGTTCGTTTCATGCGCTGTAATGGAGAAAAGTCACTCGTGTGTTTTACCATTTTGAGCATGTTTTCAGCCCTCGGGGTGACAGAACGACGCAGCATGTTGTGTATTTCCTCAATTATTTTTTGATTTTCTACGAGGCTTGCGTCAAGTTTTTTCCAGGCATTGTTGTCGGCCATCACTCGTGTGGTGCACTCCAGGATTGACAGGGCCACTGCCACCAACATCGCCTTGGTTCTGTGCAAGAGCAAGCGCACACATGCACAAGGGCACAATCTAACACGGAAGGCTCAAATACATTGAACATTTCATACAGCTTGTTTCTACAGCACAATTTCTGGCAGCTCACTACAATGGCTTCCATATTCACCCGTTTAAGCATTGTTATGTAAATAGACGGTAATATATGTTTTATTGTTGATAGATACAGTACGTGAGTTATGACTAGTCATGAACTGATCCGAGGGATTATGAACTTAAGAGAACAAATATTTACGTAAGAGATAAATGGATATGGACTCATCCACAATTGTGAAAAATTGTGGTCTATGGGAAAGTACTTCTATCCTCAGTGATGGGTCAAGGTGGGGGCAGTTGAGGTCAATTCTGCCGTATTACTCGTGTAGTACAGGGGAAGTCAGTCTGGGACACAGGGCCGGCACTCGGGAGCTGCTGGAGTTGCCCCTGCATTGTCAAGCATCCCTTTTGGCCACCCGAATGTATCCCCATTATGGTGGGCCCCCCACACAACAGCTCTAGTGCCCCCCCCCCCCCAATCCGTGAGGAGCTGGAGCCGAGTCTGCTGGAGATGTGAAAAGGTCTCTAAAGCTTTGCTTAGCGGATACATGTACCGGTGGGATGGCGGAGGGGAACAAACAATTCCAATGGTGTTTGCACACAAAAAGGTATATAAAGGGTAGGTAGCCACATCGACAACAGTCAAGTTATTTCTACGCCGAAACCCGTCCTGGTGAGGAATGTGCTCATCTCCATTGACGACGCTGAGTCAGGGGTGGAAATTCCACTTTTCTGTGATGGGAGACAGTATATCATAGTTTTTCTTAACAGTGGGACTAATTTAATTAATCGCTGAGTGATGCTGAACTCTTGCCCACATCGAGTCAGATACTTATGTATTTCTGTGTTAAGCTTCACAACTGTGTAGATTCATACCGGTAGTATATTCCAGTTAGCTGTGTGAGGATAGAGCCCAAATTGGTTCATCAGGCCTGCCTCCACCTGGTACAAACATTAACACTTATATGACTGAAGCCAATTGTTAATTATCAACCATTTCTGGTTGATACTTTGCTTCAGTCACGTAAATGGTAATGTGTGTATCAGGTTGGATGATGAGCTTATTAACCATTTTGGTCTCTATCTCGACATAGCTAACCCGAATATATTAATGCTACGTATTGTACTGCATTTGATTACTGTGAGGCCTTCTGAGGTTGATGTCCCCCAGTAAAGATTCCACGACATGAATTGTCACTGAAGCAGAACTCTCCCTTTGGTTCGCAATGTCACAGATCAGTGTCAGTTACAAAGGTTCAACGCTTAGGTCAATGAGCCCCTTTGCTCAGGTAATGTCATCATCATGATCAGCCGAGGTCAATCCACTGCTGGGTGAAGGCCTCCAAAAGCCGCCACCACCTCCGACAATCCCGCAACACAACAATCCAACTCGGGCCTGCACATTTAACTGACTTAATCACTCCATCACATCAGTAGACAAGGAGGGTTGCATTGTACAGGGTGGTCCAGATGTCTCGGGACCCCCAAATAATTGACCCCTATAATTGTTTTTTCCTTTACAGATTCATTTGTTTTAAATAAACGTTACTTCAAAAAAGATTACGTTTTCGTGAATTTAATGGGGCCACAAAGCATATGGACCACCCTGTACATTGTTACAAACATAACAAAATAACATGCATTATCAATATATTCAACCTCTGCATTTGTAGGTACTTTACAACACAATACTGTAATATATATATGAATATAAAGGCTGAATTTCAACTGTTTATTATTCAAAGATTGTTCAACTTTGACTAAGAATTACACGTTTTATACTGTACTTACGCGAACATTTCTGCGAAGGGATAAAGAAAACGCTTTGGTCCAGCAAGATCTTATATAGCAGCAGCCAAGACAAACACATGATGTCACTCACAGAGATTAAAAAACCACATAATAAATGTGACGCACTTTGAAATGTAGTATTAGCCAAATATTTTATTTAAAAAAACGCAGTGTAAAGGTGATCGACATTAATAACTTCACAGCCTCTCAGACATGACCATAGCCCCTCTAATGATACACTATCTCGCTAAGAGGCAGACTAAAAAACTTCAACTATTTTTATTTTTCCAGGTAAGACCCACTTGAGCTATGTAGCTCTTTTTTAGAAGAGACCTGGCCACACATGATAGCTCAACGAAGTGGCTTATCAAGTAGAAATGTCTAGCAGCCAAATACTCTCAACGAATGTTTCTAAATGTGAAGGAAAAAACCGGCGTGTGGGTCAGGATCGAACCCACGACCTCTTGCATACCAGGCGAGGCTTCAGGCGAGGCTTGAAGCTCGGTGCCAACAAGAATCCTGGTCTCAATGCGAGACTTCACATACACGAGCTGGCTGTCCAGGTGATGTCTTACGGACACAATTTCTAAGCACAGGGCCCAAATGCCAAAACGTCAAGCCGCCAGCAACAAACAGCACTATCAAAGTTGTGATACAGCATATAAGAGTTAAGGCATTTCTTGAATTGAGTGAGGTTATGAGAACTTAGGGGGGGGGGGAGAGACAATGGGAGAGAATTCCAGAGTTGAACAGTGCGAGGGAAAAAAGCAGTGAAATGTTGCGACCTTCAATGTAGTGGTTGAACATGGTATGAAACAGTCAGTCTGGAAAAATGAGACCTCAACATGGGTGGAAAAATCAATGAGTGAAGTCACAGAAACAGAAACCACCCAGAATAGAGGTTTTTGGGTTAGATTGCTTAAATATAAATGTGTCGTTAAAACCGCCACCACACGACACAGCCAATTAGTAAGGTTTGTCACGTATACAAAACGTGTCAATTTGTTACTAGTTCATCACACCGGTGTGTTGGAAAGTAAACCCACAATATTTGCAATTTACTCTCCAATACACCGGTGTGCTGACATACTTGGCTGTCGGGCGGTGGCGGGTTTAACGACACATTTCTACTTACGCATTCTAACCTCAAAATCTCTATTATGGATAATATTGGTTGTGAAGGTCTAACATGTTCAACAAACAGAAACCATGATAGTAGCGATAAAAGGGTGGTAAGGAGGCAACTGGCCACCAGTGAGCGTGTGACTTGAGTGAATAAGTAAGTGCAGGATCAATCGCCCTCACAGCATTACATTCAATTATATCAGGGACAGGGATCTAGGAACTTGGTGCACCACTCCCGATATCACAACTTTGGCCGAATGTGTGCTTTATATATCAGCAGTAATAATTGCACAGAGCTAGAGAGGCATCGACCCGGATAAGAAAGCCATGCTTCTTTGATGCCTCCTTAGCCCGATTAATACTACAGCCATTCCATGACAGGTCAGATTTATGGTTTTACGATAGATAATAATATATTTTTTACATATGCAGGGAGGAACTGTGGTATCGCCAGTCTTTTGTGATATTATCATTGACTGGGGTTTTTTTTTAGTTGAACAGAATTAAAATGTGCGCAAGAAAATGTGTGGACTGGGCCAACTTTTTCAAACGTACACATTTCTCACAAAAATGAACACGTTGTACTGATTAGCTTCACTTTCACCGCAAAGATCGGATTAAATGTAGATCATAATCAACGTTTTTGGGTTTAGATCGCGTTATTTATAAATGTGTCGTAACCCTCCACCATCCGACACGGCCAATCAGTAAAAATGTGTCACGTTGACAAAGACAAATAGTTCACTGCTTTAGCCCACCGGTGTGTTCTTATATATATATAATATATAAGAACGGGAGACAGCAAAGCCTCACCATTCTGGCGAATTGCCCGATGATGCTGGTTGCAATTACCAGCGAAACGTCGTACTCAAATTGTAAATGTTGTGGCTTCAACACACCGGTGGGCTAAAGCAGTGAACTATTTGTCTTTGTCAACGTGACACATTTTTACTGATTGGCCGTGTCGGGTGGTGGAGGGTTACGACACATTTATAAATAACGCGATCTAAACCCAAAACGTTGATTATGAATAACATTGGTCGCGAAAGCCTACGTGTTAAACTAAATGTAGATCCTTAATTAACAAGTTGTTTGGATTGCATATCGAATTTCCATGAGCCACAGAATTCGAAAACCTACTCGAGTTGCTACCCTGTCGCTGTGTGTCCACACTTGCGAATAATTCAAGTGAGCAGCCATTTCATTGGGCATACAATCTCCACGCCGATTTCGCTGGACTGGTTGGCCTTAATTCTCCATGTTAGAATGTGGGCAAAGCAGAAGTGCATGATCAAGTCTGATAATCAACTGGAGTTCACTTCAATGGACTTGAGTTGTCCGTACGTGGAACGTAGGTACAAGTGCACATTCTCTCCTGAGCAAGATATTGTCTAGTTTTGATAAAGAAAAGAACAAACAAATTAACACCAATGTATAACTACTGGACATCATCATTGTACTAAATCTAAAATAAAACTCAACAGACCTCAGAGCTTCAAAAATGTCAGATCTGTGATTAATCACGGGCTTACTTGGTAGGACTATACACACACACCATATTTGGATAATTTCTGTTAATATTTACTTATACTTTAGCTAACACTTATGATGTTTAACCCTGTCATGTTTGAGCGGGTTTTTAGATTTTCCAAAATACTTTGGCACTGATATATAAAACCAAACTGTAGTGAAAAGCAGAACTTGCCTTTGATAATAATGCAAAAAATAAATCGCATTGTGCTGCATGCCAACCATTTTATTTGCACAAAAGAAAAAACATTGTATTGTTGTCAAATGTGGTCAAGCTACGTGTCAGGTTTCTGAGGCAAAGACGCCTACCTATTGCAATCATATTCAACCTGCAATAGAGAGTGGATATTAATAATTCAAAACACTTCTTCAGGCCCACTTTGTCATCTGACCAAGACCTAGAATCACAACCACCCTGCACCACGAGCACCACCACCACCTAGGGCATGTACATTTCTGAGCTGCCAAGACTTGGCACCAGGCAGTGGCTGACAGGGTGTGGTGGTGGTAGTGTGGTGGCACAAGTACTGTGGACTGCACACGCTTAGCACACGGACATAGCCGCCCCTACCACGCTACTCCCGCTCGGCTCACAGCGCACACCACCGCCCACCATGGTGTGTTTCTGCTGCCACGTAAAAAAAAACATTCATTATGACAGCTGGGATTTAGGCGTATTATCTTAACAAGTATAGGTGAGGAAAGATGCGCCCATCAATTAGTTTCAGACCAACAAATGTCGTATATTTACTGTTACCGGTACTAATGCGTTAGCAAATACAGAAAGGGCTTCTCTTTAATTCTGAAGATAAATACATTTCTCAACTCTTTTTTTCTGGCAGAAATTTCACGCCTCTGGATTGGCTGTCGAGATTACTTGACCACGGTTGGAGAATCATCTTCTTGGTGAGATCTTTTCTTTGCGAAGATTGTTAAGATATTAAGGGTTGCTGCTGCTGCTGCTGCCACACGGCAACTGCACCTGTCATGATGCCACCTGCTGGGGACGGCAGGGAGCCGCTTGCAACTGCGTTCTCTGTGCTCAACAACAGAATCCGGTACAGGCTGGAAAACCGTGCGTTTTAAACAAGGCGCAGAAATGTGTATAAAACAACAACCATTGGGTCAAAAGCGGCCTGGTCAGAAATGATAGCTCAACGAAGTGGCTTATGTGGACATTTATAGCAGCCAAATACTCCAAAAGCATGTTTCTAAATGTGGAGGGAAAAAACGGAGGACCCGGAGAAAAATCCACACGATCATAGGGAGAACATGCAAACTCCAAATATACAGGCATCAGGTTCGGGATCAAACCAACGACTTCCTGCATACTAGGCGAGGTGGTTAACATATCGCCACCATGGCACCTTTCGCGCAGTGTGACTCCGTATAGTGTGTAGCGTATCGTTTTCGCCTATTCAGGGTGATGAAAAGGGATTCCATCCCTCATTGAATTGACCATCGAGACACCGACTCGAATTACACAAAATGTAAAGTAATGTAGTGTTTCATCGTTTTAGAAAAGCCAAAGCATCTTAAGAAAATACCTTTGGGAAATGTATTGATCTTCAGAATTAGGAAATCGCTGCATATTTGCTAATGCTTTCGCAAATGACAACAGTAAATAGAAGACAATTGGTTGCTTAAAACTAATTGATGGGAGCAATGACGCACGTGAGAGACGGGACTTCGGGTCAAAATACAAACACAGCATTGTTTGCTCAATGGACATATTTGAACATGTCTACTAATATATTAGGGTGCACATTGCTTAAGGGAGGAGCAGTGGCATAGTGCAGAATTTAACAGTGATCTGAGATGTATTCCCATGCTGTTCGATCGTATTGGAAAACTTAAATAGAAGTCTCTGTGCCAGACAGTTTCACAGACCGAGTATACTTCGATGAATGTCGAAGTTGCTTGAGGTTACACTGGCAGCATGCATCAATGTGTGCCGTAAGTACATGCATGTGTAGTGTTGTAAATATTGACGAATACACTTCTTTGAGGCACACGTTGTTTATTGACTTTCACTACATGGTCCCTAGCATGAAGGGTATATTGGTCCCTTCACCCGATACCTAGGCGTTATGGCCTCCGAACTATACGGGACCTTCTTCTTGGTTCTTTCGGTAAAGTCATGTAGAAGGGAAATAATAAAATAATAAAAATGAAACATAATAGAATAATTCTCACGACGTTTCGGCCACAACGCAAGCAGCTGCTTGCAAGCAGCTGCTTGCGTTGTGCTTGCAAGCAGCTGCTTGCGTTGTGGCCGAAACGTCGTGAGAATTATTTAATTATGTTTTATTTATTATTTTATTATTTACCTTCTACGTGACTTTACCGAAAGAACCAAGAAGAAGGT